TTTTGGCCTTTTCACCCCATAATACTTGCTTATTTCTCCATACTTTACCTTGCTTAACATCACCATTATTAAGTCCACCAGCTTGTATGGAACGCTATACTTCAATAACATCACTAGCCCCAAATATGCCATCTCTCTTGATATTAAGTGTATCTGTTTAAAAAAAAAAAATCAAGACTTAGCTTATTCAAAAGATGAGATATCTTGCTATAACAGATTAATTATCTAAAAATAACCATCAAAATCAAAGTAATTATCCATAATATAAGTGGATTTGAAATTTAGAAAATATAACAGATTAAACATTAATTAATTACCTGGCTTCGAACGATAATGGAAGTTTTTGCTCCATGGTTAGCAAGATCAAGTGCAATTTCCATGCCAGAATTTCCACAACCAACAACCAAAACACGTTTACCCTTAAATTTCTCTCCATTTTTGTATTTAGTAGTATGAATGGCCTCTCCTGCAAAATTTTCCAAACCAGGGACCTGAGGAATAAAAGGGTAACTAGCTTCTCCAGTTGCCACCACAAGAAACTTGCTAAAATACTCCTCCACATCACCAGAATTTCCATTTCTAACCTTAACATTCCATTTTCTTGTGGATTCTTCAAAAAAAGCAGACTCAACTGTTCTTTTGTACAAAGGAGAGATATTAAAATGGGAAACATAGTCATCCAAGTATTGAATGAACTCTTTTTTGGGTATATAAGTAGGAGAAGAAGAGGGAAATGGAATGTGAGGAAGTTGACAGAATTGTTTATCCAAATGAAGGTGAAGTCTATCATAGGAATATTTTTTCCACATAGAACCATAACAATCATCTTTTTCAAGAACAAGGTAAGGGACAGATTTTTTTTTAAGACATGCAGCTGTGGCTAAACCAGCAGGGCCAGCACCAACAATGATGACTTTAGGTTCTTGAATTGTTGCCATGGCTCAATAATTCACAAAGGAATGAAAGAAATTTTGTTGGGTTGTTGTTGGGATTGATTTAGAGAGAAAAGATGATGGATTTATATACAAGGAAGTTAACTAGCTGACAAACTTTTGACAATAGGAGTAATATTTTCTATTTTTGAGTAACTCATTTATGGTGACTTCAATCCTTCTTTTATTTTTCTTTTCCTTTATTTGTTTTCTTACTTAATTTGGTGGATTACGGGTTAATCATAATCTAATTGTATTGTTTGACCATGACTTTTTTTTTTTTTTTTTTTTTTTTTTTTTTTGTGGTATTCTCAAGACTTATAAGTAGTAAACATTTTTCATAGTATGATATACTTTTGCACTAGATAACATACTTTTGCACTATCATTTTAACATATTATCTCACTTTTTTTTATGAACAATTAGCATAAAAAAATAATCTTAAATGTTATGCACGGTAATATATAGTAGATTTTTACACTATTAAATTGATTCAAATAATAGGTGAGTATTCATAGTAAATCATATATGGTAATCTGAAAAATGGACTAATAACATGCTATTACATGGTAAGCTGAATTAATGGTATGAAATAAATTTTTTAACTGTCAATACACAACTTAAATCGTTACGTTATCGATATCCATAGAAGTTAAATTCTCTTCTTTTTGTTGTTGTTTAGTTTGAGTTGATTTACTAAAAAAAGAATATTAATAAATGTTTTTTTATGCTCATGACTGATATATACCCGTAATCTGAAATATCAACTAATTTTGCAAAGATTTATGGCATAACCACTCACCTAAAATAATATTACTTATAGTAAATGTTGTTAGAAAATGTTTGCTATAGTGAATTATTTACTTTCTCCATTAAAAGTAATTAAAACATAAAAATTCCCTTTTAGATTTTGATTGCCTACCATATTGAACTTTGACCATAATATTCAGATTAAACCATATAGTATGGTTGTAAAAAGAAAAAAAACTTAACCTCGGACTTTTAGTAGTTGTCCTGGTTCTCTTTTTCACCGGAATTTGACAAAAGTCCATTGATATATATATATAGAGAACACCTAACATATATTGTTTTTCTTGTTGGACTTAATTAGATCACTGAACAAAAGTAAAATAGTTGAGGCATGTCAGATCATTGGAGATCAAAATGAGATTGACTCAAACAGGACAACATGCTACAAAATTATAAATTTTTACCATGCAATTTAGTGCCTGCAAATTAAATATTTGGTAGTTAAGTAGTTGAAAAGTCACAACCTTAATGAAGAGTAAGTTTTATATACGCCTTCTAAAATTAGAAAATTAATTTTCGGGTTCCTAATTAATTGCAACGGTTGAATTGCATTGAATGGATTGGAACAGTTTCATTGGATTCAACGGAAAGTCGTCTCTTTTGGATTTCTAAACATAAATAACATTAAATTTAATAAAATGAAAAAAATGAGAGAAAAGTTAAAAAAAAAGAGAAAAAAGATAAGTGAGTTTCTTGGACAAAGAGAGGTGTCACCTCAGCTTTTCAATTCCCTCTTTTATATATATATAGATATATATAGATTTCTTGCCAGGTTCTATTACAACAATGACAAGAAATTCTAAAATTTCTACTTCGAGATCTTCTTTTCATGTTAGATTGATTCTAATACATAATTCATTGATCACCTGTATTTTTTAATCTATATTTAATTTTAATTGAAGTGTATAATAATAATACTATGTTTCTCTCTCGACTCTATCTTGATGAAAAAATATTTGTAGAGTTTATTATCAGACACTTGTATTTATTCATGTTCAATTTACCATGCGAATTCATCAAAATTGAATCATAAAAGGGAAGCATAAGTATGAAAACATTTTCAATACCAAACACATCTCTCTCCTAATGATTTTAGGCTGCATAATTAGAGGTAGCTGTGCCAAAGCTAGGACAAGTTAGCTATAGTAGAAGGATCCTTTGGATTACTTAGGATAAAATTTATCCAATGTCTGGTACACTTTCAACCTTTCGGTTTCTGGCTCTGGGTTAGCAGAAATAATCAAGATAACATTTTTATTTTTTATTTTTTACGTTTGGTAAGTACTTTTGCTTGTTTGATAGTATGTTTTTTTATTGCTCTCTTATTTTCTCCCCTTTTTAATTACGTCTTTTTTTCCTCAAAAGTTTTTAACTTGAAAAGAGTTTATATAAAACTTTTCGGAGAAATTATTTTAGTGAATGCCAGTGGTAGTTAATTATATTAAAAGAAAAAAAATGAGTGATAAACATGTCATGAATCTTAATTTGTATGTACTCTAAAATTGTTATAATTTGCCCTTCTACGAATTGTGTTGGGCTGGATTAGATTGGATCAAACATTAAAAAATGAAGAGGATGACCTAAGTTCGTTATTTTAAAAAGGGAAATTTTCGTTCATATACTATATAAGAAACTATATTACCAAATATGTTCATAGTTTGCATATTACCCTTTATGCTAACAGTATTTCTACAAAATATAGACCATGCATTAAATAAGGAATCATTGTAGCTGTAGGCTTCCTTATTTAGGCGCGCAAAAATTGAGGGATTAAATATTCTTCCAGATCTTCCAAACGCAAATCACGCACATTAATCTTCTTCGTCAGTTTCGTTTCAAATTTAGCGTCTCTACATCAAACACATTATTCTTCTACAATTCAAAAACGAATTGATTATTCTTCTACAATTCAAAAACGAATGGATTATTCTTCTACAATTCACAAATCAAAAACGACTAAATTTTCTACAATTCTTCTACATCAAATGCAATTATGTCCAAATTTCAGTTATACAAAGCAAAGGAAAAGAGAGCAGCAATTCCACCATTGACAGCCATTAAAAAGCTTTGAAGCTTTGAATTCAAATTTGAGTTTTCAAAAATCATTATTTGTTTGGATTGGGTGTTGTTGCAAATAATTGGGAATATGGTTTGGAGTTTATATCTCAATTTTAAGGAGTTTTGGTGAAGATTAGACTTGGTTTTAGCTGAATTTCGGATTGAAACTCAAAGAAGAAGAAGAAGACATTACATACATTATATTACAGAAATTGTAGAAAAATTGTAGTTAAATTGTAGAAAAATTATATTCTGTTGTTTATTTATTTTTCTTTTATCCATTTAACTATTGTATGAAAGTTGAACAACATTGTATAAAAATTATATTTAAGTGGTATTATATTATAGTTGTAAATAATTTAGTAGAAATAATGTACGAAAATTGTAGATAATTTGTAGATAAGTTGCATAATATATAATTAGTTATATGAAAATTGTTTTTAGTATGTATAAATCAGATACAAAATATACAAAAGACATATTGTATAAAATTTGTATGTAAATTTTATGTTATTGTAGTTCTATTTCACTGGGTGGAAATAATATGTGAAAGTTGTAGAAAATTGTAGATAAGTTGTATTCCTCTATAACGGGAGATGTTGACATATCAAGTAACTTTAGTGTTCCAGACGAACATGCATGAAAATAAAGATAAATTCTGTTATGAACAGTTTGTAGATAATTTGTAGAAATATTGAAATTCTGTATTTTCATATTAATTTTTCAAATGATATGTAGTTTTGTTATAGATTAAATGTCGAAAACAAGCCATTGTGAGTCTTATTTGACTCATTCCTCACATTCAACCTATTCTACAAATTCACGTCTCTTTAAATACAATACAATCATACTTTCTTGAATTTAAAGGTATAGCAATATATATAACTTAAAAAACATCTTCTCCTCTACATAAGTTGGCTCCAAAACAGACGAAGTGGAATAACAAGCTCCCATCAAAACTTTTAACACAAAAACACAAAAGCTCAAAAATAAATTAACAACAGTCTATAATTTTTCTACAGTTTATCTACAATTGTTGCACGTCTTCTTCTTTTTCTTCTTCTTCTTCTTCTTCTTCGAGTTTCAATCTGAAATTCAACCAAAATCAAGTCTAATCTTCACCAAAACCTCTCAAAATTGGGATATAAACTCCAAATCATATTCCCAATTATTTACAACAACACCCAATCCAAATAAATAATGATTTTTGAAAACCCAAATTTGAATTCAAAGGTTCAAAGCTTTTTAATGGCTGTCAATGGTGGAATTGCTGCTCTCTTTTCCTTCCCTCTTATATTACTGAAGGAACCCCGAAATCATAACCATCAAAAGGTATTGTTGTGTATGAACTTTGAAGATTTGACTTCAATTTTAACTGGTTGTAGAAGAAAAAACCTTGATTTTGGACGTTAATGGTAAAGGGTTTCATTTTTTTTTTTGGTTTTAGCAGAGGGAATAATGGTTTGAAACGTGGGCGTGTGGTGATACGTGGGTGAGGGTGTGGGGTTGGGAGAGAGAAACGTGGGGGGTGGGGATTTGGAGGACTATACGGTACCATAAATTTAGGAGTGATATAAGGTATAATTAATGTACAATTAAAACACCTTATGATATAGAATTGATAATTAAGTATACTAAATGTAATTATATCAAACCTTAAACATTGAGGGTAATATAGTTTCTTATATTGCAAAGGAATGTAAAAATTCCTTTTAAAAAAGGATGATTAGTTATTTTCATGAAGGGCCGAGTGAAAATAGGAATTACATTGAAAATCAATGCAATCGACAAAACAAGTCGAACCTATAATAAATACCTCTTTTTTCATATTCTTCCATTACTTTTTCGGGTTCGATCTTTTATTGAAGCAGAAAGTTGATGTGATACTTTAAATAATACTTAAAACTGTAGCATACTCAAGTAGCTGTTGATACTTTAAATAATATAACTTTAACATATTCAAGTAGCTAGTTGTCCGTCATTGCTTGCACGTTCAAAATAAGAACTTAGAAAAAAATATTCTTGATGTGAAATCACAGCCAAATCAGGTATACGTGAAATTGTATCGTAACACATCATATTATATTATAAGTGTGAAGTCCTTTAGTGTGAAACTAAATTACCTAAATAACCTTTAAAAATTGAATGACCATTTTACCCTTAAGTTAAATACTACTACTACAATACTATTATACCAGAAAGAAGTCCTTTAGTGTGGAATTAAATTACCTAAATAATCTTCAAAAGTTGAATGACCATTTTACCGTTAAATTAAATACTACTCCTATAATATTATTATACCAGAAAGAATGCACTTTTTAATAAGTATTAAATTTGTAAGGGAATGTTTTAAGAATTTATCATGATGCCATATCTTAAATCTTTTTGTTTTTCAAACTTAAACCTTTTGAGTTTCATATGTGTATCAACGTAAAATAGTGAGTCATTAATTTCCTAAGGTTGGTGCACTAAGTAAGAGTAACGAATTTCAGCCAAATATCAGATTATTGGCAGTCAAAAGTGAGTAGGTCCTAAACTTAAAACTTAAACTATGCAAATGCTATCTATTAAAAATTGAGTGGCCATCTTGCCCTTCCAAAATAAAATAAAATTGAGCCTTATGTTAATGTTAATCTCAACTACATTGAATCGAGTAAATGAGAATGTGTTTCATCTACCAAAATGTGTTTCATTTTGATGTGTAGATTTGCTTATTTTTTGCTTAATAAATGGGGAGGACTGTTTAGACTACCAGTAATTATTGCAGATTCAAAATGTAAAAATAGTCCTTTGAAATTCCCCCTGTAATAACATATATCGTCTTAGACTTTTCATATATTCTATTGCACACATCAAAATGTCAAATCACTTTAGCGTTTTTCTCTTCTTTTTATCAGAAATTCCTAAATTTCCATATAAGTATAGTCTCTTTTCAATTGTCTTATTTTGTTCAGTACCATCCCAACATGTAAATTTATTTCTTTTCCCATTAGAATTCTTTTTTCATGGAGAAAGAAAGTATTCTGCTGCTTTACCCATGAACTCAAAGTGCAAGTGTTCACAATTACAAACTGCAAGCAAACATTGAAGGATAGATCAATAAATACCTTCACAATTTTTTTTTGAAATGTTAACCTTCATAGCAATTGGCTGGTTATAGAAAGAGCGCGGAGACGAGAAACACGTCCACCGTTGACAAAGAACGAATAAAGCTAATCATTTTGATTATTTTACTTTTGCAACACTATGGAGAAGACAAATCGAGTGGTTGATTTCTCTTTTTCGCCTTTATATCAAGAAGAAAGTGGAGATAAAATCGGGTTTTACTTTCTAAACTTATTCTTTAATTTCCTATCCTTATAAATTTAATTTTTAGATTATATATAAGTAATTTATAACTATAAATAAACATTACGCAGATATTGATATGGGATATACGTGCAATGCACGTGCCCAAATACTAGTATATCTATTTACTGGAATATAGTATAATCAGAGGCGGATCCATGATTTAAAGTTTATGGGTTCCAACCATAATCTCAAATTAATATGCAATACTAACTGAGTTCACAATTAAATATTTACAAATATTTAATAAATTTCTTAAATATAAATACAGGTATACGTAAGAGTTATTGGGCTCCCAGGAACCCATATTCAATGCTCTAGGTCCGCCACTGAGTATAACATGTGATTTTCACAGAACATAAAGGAAAAAACTCTTATGCCTGCAGAAATATGATATATGGATATATCAATTCTAGCAATTTTCAAATAGATTAGGATCGCTAGATGGCTGAAATGTAATCGGTATGTAGTGGGATCGTATTAGATAAAAAGTATGTTATTATTTTAGATATAATCAATTTGATGAATTTTTCCTAAAGGTAGACATCAAATTAGTGCTAGTTCACCTCAAACTAGTGCTAGTTGAGAGAGTTACTTCGAAAACAAAAAAATAAAATTATCGCAATATAACACCAAAGAAAATGAAAAAACAAAGAAGTATAATACCTGGGAATCCCTGAACTTGGCACCATTTATTCAGTCATACTTGAACTAATTGTAGTCCTAATTACTCCTTGGCAGTGACAAAGAGTTTGTATGCACTATCTTTTAGGCATGCCGGAGTGAAAAGAAAAAGAACTCCCATGTGTATTTATGTACAGTACTATTTAATTATTTGATTAATAAAGGGGGCAAAATGAACTCCCATGCCTGATAAATGCAGAGGGCGAAGATGGATAGACATTATAGCAGCCATAGAATTCATTAATCAGTTCTTTAATGAAATGAAATAAAGCCCAACGCCATGTACAGTGCCTCTTTTATCACTACACGATCTCATCGATCCCATACTCAGCATGCGCAGGCTTTATCTCTCATTACTTAATTCATTTAAAAAATGATTAGACATTCATTATATAGCAGCCATATTCTTCGGTTGTTCTTGTATATATAACTGTGCTACTCCATTCGATACATATATCGGTGTTATGTTTCATATCTACACAAATACACAGAAGGATGCTCAATTAATCTATTTGTATATTAATAAAATTACATGCACATGAGGCAGAATAGCATGTGTCGTCTGGAGCTTTCAGCCTGGCAAATATTTTGTGAGTTTTCTTCCTCAGTCGTTGAAGAGCACCAATCACTTGTTTAGAGTTTAGATTTAAACTTCTTCAGGATTCGATCGCCTCACATCAATAATCCAACTCTATGTAGTTTTAAATTAAATAAGTTGTTTGATACATATAGATTATAGGCTATAGCTCCTACCAGTAGCTAATTAACTTACCATGTGCAGCCATTAGTACATTGATTAATCCGGCAATAAGGGGTAAAACGGTTTCAACTAAGAAATATATTCTCCGTTTCCAGACTTCTAATTAATGATAGATAAATCTCAATCATTTCATCACATCACACTTGTTGGTGTTATTCTTAATGATTCACAATGACCAATAGAACGCTTAGTTGGGTGTTTCCTAATTCAACGACTCATTGAATATCTCCATCTATTTAATCTTGTGGTTACGTCATGGAGCTAAAACTGTGGTCTGTATTGATCTGTATTAAGTATGAAATCATAGACGTGCGTGTACTTGTCCTGTCCGCCGCTTTTACCGTTGTGTTTTTTTTTTCTTCCTGTTTTAAGTAGCGATTCTGAAGTTAGTGTTAAGCCAAAAAATTAATCCCTAATAGAAATGACTTTAGGATGTGTCTAATCTTTTTCTTTCAATTTGTACAGAAGAGATTATATAGTATATGCAGCACAAGATGTATTTCTTGCTGTGTCTAATATTTTTTACTCACACTTGTATTTGTATTAAATTACCTTAATTTCCCGTNTATATATATTTATTTATTTATTAATTTGATACAAACAACGTGTGTGAATAAATTCTTCTTTCTTTCTATTGTGTGATGCTCAAGACATATTTATGTCGTTTTTTTTTTGTAACAAATGTGAACATAACCATTACAACCAGAAAAACATTTTTTACAACCTATGAGCCTCTAGTGTCTGAAACAGATGGAGACACCAGAACTCCAAATATTTCAGAATTATCTATTTACATATTCTCTAAGCAACTCTTTGCATTTCCTATCTCTTCTTCCCCTATACACTATCTCCACTCTGTCTAGTATCTCTTTCCTAATTTTATCATTTACAAGGTCTATGCTCACATTTACTTTCCTGAATATTTTTCAATTATATATATGGTATTTTGGTCTGTCTATCAACATTTAAATTATGCAACACTACATACAAGTAACACACTCTTAAAGGTGCATGCATGTATTTAACAGTAATTACTATGGACGTATCTCAGTTTCTGACTGGGATGAAACCCATGTAACTTAAGGGCAGACAATTAAGTTACTGCTAAATTTTTACTACTATTAATATTTTACTGAAATCAGATGCACAACAACCATTTCAAGTCAAACACTTATATCCTTTAAATACCTAGTAGGGAAATTCTAATGTCTAAGTTATCTACCAAAATAGTAATATTGATAAACAACAACAATAAATTAATTTTTCATTGTTAAGAGTCTTGTATTAGTTGAGACTGAGAGTTTAGTTCGTTGTTTCTTGTGGTCTTGGATAAACATCACCTTATCATAATTAAGCTAACTTTTGGGCTGTGTTGAAACTACGGCTATCAAATTTGGTCCAAGCCCAAATGAGCCGCCAAACTCGCCCAAGGTTGGACTGGTTTTTGACCCGCTCATTTATTGAACTCAACTCATCTTGACCCAAACCATTTCAACCCATTTAAAATTGGGGTATTATTACTTTTAGCCCGCGCCAGAAACTATTTACCTCTGGTAGCCGAAAAAGTGTATAAAATTTGTATATAACATACATAATGTATATTTATACAAAAAATATACAAATTTTATATATTTTTTCGGCTATTATTTTAACAGCTGCCAGTGTCATTTTTCCTTTAAAGTTGAGTTGATTTTTAGCCTAAATTGATCCTTGAGTAACTTTGCCAAAACACCTTAAAAATAAATTTATTTTGTTTGATTTGTTATATATGACCAAACAAAAGAAAAAAAAAATCTTAGTTATTAATTATATAATTCATAATACAACAACATATATTAACTAAAGATTGCAAAGAGTTGGGTGAGTTGAGCTATGACCCAAATTTTAGTCTATCTTGGTCCAATCCATCTTAGCCAAAGTAATTTTTGGGCAGATCTCTTGACCCGCCTAATTATTGACTCAACCCGTTTTGACCCACCCAAAATCGACCAAACCCGTTTAATTGGCACCCCTAGTTGAACCCAATATTCATTTCTTTTGACGTGTTATCAAAATCAGACTCGTTTCTATGGGTATTTGGTTATTCAATGTTGGTTTTCCATTATGCTGTATATCAACGCTCAAAGTTGTATCCACTCCTGGGCATGCGAAGGGAATTAAGAGGGGAGTTGGAGTCCCATATTAGTTGATGATACGCGATGTTTTCGGCCTACATGATTTTAGACAACAATTAATGAGTTGCCTTGTAAAATGGAGTCAAGTCCAAAATATGTTTTGCTTGATAATACAGGCTCAAACTACCAAACCAATAAGAAGTTGGATAATAGTAAAACTAAGGTGTGATATTTCCCTATAAATAAACATTTCCAAAATATTGTTACCATACTTTGTAATGGAAGGCCATGAAGATTTTTCAAATTATAAACAAAGTCCCCCCAAAAAACAGATGTCTAAGAGGATTATCTAAAAGCCTTTGCTTTTCTTCTTTTTCTTTTTATTTATTCGCAAATTTTCAATAAATAAGAGTAGTACTTAGTACACGTGAATTGGACAATTTGCTCACGGTTGTCCAACTTCTCAAGCTGTCTAATTCTTAAATTAGGAATTAGAGGATAAATATGCTTCCTAATACAAATATCATTGGTTACGTTGTCTGAGTTAGGACCTCAAGTACTCAAACATTAAAGTCGTGACTTTTTATGAGTTTGACCTGTAACCTTTCATGGGAGGACTTTTTTTTGTACTTGTCATTGTTCAAAGGTGCAAGAATCACACTATGGGCTAAAGATTATCATAATTACATGTGTACCTAGTCGATATTAAGAAAGTCTTCAAAAGCTGTCACGTGAAGCCTTTAAAAGCTGTCACGTGTCATCGATTTGGTTTCAACAGAGGACGGAGACGAGGACGAGTACTTCTTCAGTAAAGTAGTAACGGTTAAGTTTTAGAGATAAGGTCCCCAAAGAATATTTCAGTGAATTGTCCTCACAGTTGTACTATTTAGGATTTTGTGGCCCATGTATCCTTATAAATAGAAATATATGTAGTTAAAGGGGGGATTGTACACTCATTGTAAAAAATAATAAATTGACATTCTCCGAAGATTCTTACTTTATCATTCACATAAAAAAATCCACTTTTTTCTCATATCTTTATCTATCTTTTCTCCCACGGGAGGATCCGAATATTCGAAAGCTTAGCACTATCTATCTTTGTCGGAAGGAATATTAAGGAATCTCACCCTTTTTGTGTGACCCACATTCATTTATTTACATTAATGCCATTTATTATTATTTATTGCTATTTATTGCTATTTTCTATATTTTTGGATCATTGATTATATCATTCTTGTTGTTATTTATTGCTGCTCAAATAGCACACGTGAGATTTTATTACAAAGATATTTGGTCTATCTTTTGGATATTAATATTGTCTAAGATTAACCATACTTTATTATCAAATTCGATTGTATAAACCTAGATCTAAATTTTGGGTCATACAGTTTGGCGCCGTCTGCGGGAATTTCTCAGCTAATTTTTTAGTTTCCATTAGATCCATAACTCATGTGACTTGTTAAGCTAACGAACTACAAAGTTTATATTTTTTTTTGTGCGAACAAAAATCTCCATAGAAGATAACCAAGGAAACGTAACGAAGGCAACAGACAATGTTTCCCTCAACGTCATGAGTGCCATCAACGAAGGCTATGACACCAAAGATGAAGAGGTGATGCCCACAGTCTCTCCCAGACGAGAAAGGTCACTTGCACCTTTCTGCAGCACAACAAAACAAAACGATAAAGGGGTCTTCACGTCCACGGGAGAGATGGCGTCGACTGCTATAAAAAAGTTCCTCAAGGCGTGGCTAACTGACACTCTAGTCAGAGTGCTCAGTAAACAATCCCCATGCACGACCATAGATACCACGAGAGCCCATGCATCACAACACGGGAACGAACAGGACGGCCGATCAAACCCTCTGCCTTCATGTAAAACTTACACTATTACTGACAATGCAGGTGAAAACATCCTCGCCGCTGTGCTGAAAAGAATGGAGGAAATGAAAAACAAGAACAAGGCACTCAGGGACCAAATGAAAGAGCACTAGAAACGGGTAGACAAAATACTAGATGCTCCCAAATTATTACCAAAAAGAGACGCCGACAAGTTTGTGGAATAGTCGTACAGGGAAGAAGAGGCTCCACACGCCATACCAAAGACCTTCAAGATGCCCCCTATCTCAGAATTTACGACGGGACGACCGATCCCGAAAACCATGTCACCCACTATGTCACCGCCGTGAAAGGCAACGACCTCACC